ATTTTCTAGATTGTTGGAAATTCGATTTTCTATAAACTGGAAAATCCCCACGGAATTCCCATATGTACTCTTTGAAATTCGCCGAGCATTTTCCATAAATAATTTCCAACCTTACAGTGTAGATATCATAGCAAAATTGATGTGATAGTCATCACTCTTGCAAAGATGGTATAAAATAAGTTTTTGTCACAAGATTTGCAATTGCATGTGGAAGAGACTGAAGTTGCATTCAATAAAAATACAATAATACAATTGAAAGTGAAAACTAACGGTTCAAATCAACTGGCTACGAAAACTGCATTCATTACTCGCGTAGATACCACTTTACCAGTACATGCAAAAGTAAACACTGATTCCTCAATTAAGTGGAACTTCCTCTCAGAAAGTCAATTATTTGATGGTAAATCGGAATCAAGTTTTTTAATATATAGATAATCTGAAATGCCCTCTTTCAGAGTCTGTATAGCTCTTTATGAAAAAATTAGGGTTGACAGGTTGTAACAGGTTATCTGACATGACCTATCCCGTTTCCATTTGAGAGAGTCATACAGATTTCAAACTTGTTTTACGTTTTTTTCAAAAGGCATTTCTCGCGCAGTAGGGTACATTTTTCTCAGGAATGACGGACGCATAGTAATTTTATAAACTTTTTCATCTGATAGCTAAAACAAAACTGCACACAGCAATGCCCATTTTTTAGAATTTCGCTTTCTTTACTGAGAAAAGTACATTTTGCTATGGGCGGAAGAACTTTTCTGAACTTTCAATTTAAGATGCCGGTCAAAAACTAGTGGACACGATATTCCACAAAAACAGATGTCTCTGTTTAGATTTAGATGTCTAATCGGACACTTAAGTGCTAGAGTTCATTTAAAAGAAACCTCCGATCCGTAGCTACTACTGTCCTAAGAAAAACGTACTTTACAAAAAGTCGCGTTTTGCACCTTTGATATCTATAACTCGTAAAAAACCCAATATTTTTATCATAATGTTTGACCCACTAAACCTTCGTGCAAATCGGTCGTACGGTGTAGAAATTTCTTGTGAAATTTTCTCTGTGCGATACAGGCTCAATATTAGATCCGAACGAAGTTTTCGAATCGACGAGGTCATCTTTTAACTATATGAGTATAGGGTACACATATAAGTGATATTAGTGAAAATATCGTGACTACATCTCATCATTTTATTCATAAGAAAGATAATTTTTCATTTCTCTCCTCTCCTTGTTGGATTTCTCTCATCCTCATAATGCTTTTTAACTTTCAAAAAAACATACAATATCCTGACGATAAAAAGTTCGATCAGGCTCAAATTTTAGTCACATACCTGTTATATATGCAGTATAAACAGGCTGGACACAAGATCTAAGATGATTGCTGAGAAAGCTAGGTAGAGTATCTCGTACAATGGCTGACTTTAGGATAATTTATAAGAGTGATTTGGAAATACGTCAACTATGGTAAAAATCATCTAAAATTCGTTCATCGTTCGACAGTCAAAATAACTTAAGATGCACCACAGCAAAGCTTTGCTGATTGATTTATCAACAGTTCCCACAGGCTACGAATCGAACAACATTGAGCAAGTTGTGTACAAGATGTGTAGCTATTAGTCTACAATACAGACGTTTTACTGATTTTATGGTTCAAGAGTAAAGTTGTGTTGTGAAGTTAACCTAGTTCACTTGAAATATATTAGAAATTGCACCATCTCGTTTCAAAATAATTTCTCTTTTGGAAAAATATTAAAAAAGTAATTTTTTCGTATACATTTTATGCCACCGGTTTTTAGAAGTCCAAATAATTAAATAGATGAGTAATAATCGAATGTATACATGAATCAGATATACAAGGTTTTTCCACTTAGCCTTCGTCAGAGTTATTAGTCGAGATTGTGCCATTTTACAACTGTATTCTAGTATTATTCTTAGACTAATTGGTCTTGTTTACTTTAGTTGATCATGTCGAATCAAGGCTTAGAAGTTGTTTCAAAATTAAATAATGAATTTGAGAAGTTGTACAATGCTGGAAATGTTCATGAAGCATGCCAAACGTATTTATCAGACGCTAAGGTGTTTGCTAATGACAAACAGGTGTACGAAGGTCCATCTCAAATAGAGAAATATTATCAAAATGCACGTTCGTCGGGTAACACCCATGTTAAATTGGAAGTAAACAAGGTCATTCAATGTGGTCAAGATTATATGGTTGAATTAAGCTCATACAAGTTGAACAACGATCATGGAAACTACGTTGTTACATGGAAAAAAGAAAATGATAAATGGAAAAAATTAGTTGACATATTCAATTAGATAGACGAATATTTATTTGACATCATTTACATGAACCTCATTTACATATTTCTCTACTTATTTATAATTTAGCAATTATACTGCACAAGACGATCCATTCCTTCTCATAGTTTAAAGAGTGTTATTATCAATCTTATAGTTTCTAAATAAATGTTGTTCAGTGCTTAGTTTTAAACTAGCTTGATTAAAATTTTGATGATTATAGGAATAGTTTTCTATTCATCTCAGTTGTATGATTTCAGGTCATACTTGTATTACCTGATCCCAAGCATTCTGTAACAACTTCCACTACGATGCTAATTCGTCATTGGTCTTTTAATTTCATATTCTCAAATTTGCGTAATAATCACTTATTTTACACTGTAATTTGGAATTAATTTCTAGTTTATAGAAAATCGATCTGGAAAATCGTGGAGCTTTTTCTGATATTTATAAAATGCTCGTAGATTTTCTGACTTTTTAGAAATTCGCGATTTTCTATT